CGAGCGGCACAAAGATAAATAATATTGAACCGTATAAAAATCATTTTATATTTTATACGCATTATGGTAATAGTGTTTTTATATTATGTCTGACTAACTTTCTATAATTTCGACCGCGGAGTATAGGCATTTTCGTGCATGTCTGCGCGTTTCTTATGTAATGTAGGTCAGAGATAATGTCGTAGAATGTAAGGCGAGCGAACTTGCTTAATATGTTTCCAATGCACTTGTCAATCCGCATAAAATCAGCATCCACAATATTCGTTACAGCTCCACAAACTGAAAAAACGGATTCGCACTACATTTGAAAAATTTGCGGACGTTCATACCACGCGAAATGCCGCAGACGACGCAATCGGCCTCCCATCGCGCCAGAGCCCGCTACGTCGTCATGTCGGTGCAAGCAAACACTCAGGCGAACGCTGCGCGCATCCAACATCATTAAGAGATAATATACAAAATTGGGTATGTTTCGAAGATTCCGCATGAAGCTTCGCAGACGGCGCGATCAATATGTAATGGCTCCGGAGACCGCATCGATGTCGGCAGGCACACGAACGAAGTCGTACACCTCCGACATGGCCGAGAAGATGCACAAAATCGCCGATGTTTCCAAAATTCGATCGTCGAACCACCAGGACGAGAAATACCACATTTTAAAACGTCCCAATTGTGTTTTTTTAATTTATAAATTTATTATAGCCATGGAATTAGACCCCTCGTCTACGCTTATGCTATGACGTTTCTCAGGTCGGGCAAATCAAGTCCGTTTACACCCACTAAAAAAGCATTTCCCTATTCCCTACCAAGTGCAAAAGACAGAGATAAAATATAGATCGACGTTCAGTGTAACTCAGTCTATACACGATTATAGATTCTACCGATGTGCATGGCGAGCGGCACAAAGATAAATAATATTGAACCGTATAGAAATCATTTTATATTTTATACGCATTATGGTAATAGTGTTTTTATGTTATGTATTAGTCACTCTTTATAATTTCGGCCGCCGAGTATAAAAGGGAGAGGTAACCAGAGAAAACTAACACCCAGTATATCGATTTGACTAAAGCTTTAATAAATCATATGCCATAATGGTCCAAATAAATGTCCCAAATTTTAACGCGATCGGTAAAAGGGTTATGAAATTACTAAGTAAATTAGTTTTATTTTTGACAACTTTGAAGACCTGTAACTCAAAAACCAAACATTTTTTTTTGTCGTAGATCGTATTTATTTATCGTCGTAAATATGCAGTCAAACGTTGTCGGTGAAACTTGCGGACACCCTGTCTAAATGAAGGGTAGTGATAAATGATAAACATAAAAATGAAAAAAATTTAAAATATTTTTAGTAAATCTGTTCATTTTCTTTTAATCTGTCAATCAGCAATTTATAATGTGAATTTTTATTTTGTTATACTTACTATAGTGTTAAAGATGTTCTAAACAATAAAGTAATATTATTATTATTAAATTATATATGTACCTCTATTAATTGTTGACATTGTCTACATTGTCGACACTTTCAAATTATGTCTACACCTATGTTATTGTCTACGCGTAGACAATTGTATTTTCTACGTTGCGATTGTCTACCTGCCCGTCCCTGGATTTAAGTAAAGAAAATAATAAATAAAAAAAATATTCTGTACAAGGTATATAAGTTCCCGTGACACTTGAAAGTATTAACGAATAACTTTAAACTGTTTTTTTGTATTAATATTATTTCTTCTATTAATCAGTGTAACTAAAGATAATTTGACATATTTTAATGCTTACAACTGTATAAAATATAATTTTCCGTTACGTTAATGGCACAAGATATTAGGTCTATTATGGTTTGTGGTTTGCTTTTATGATGATTGAATTTTATTCTAAAAGCTGATAAATTTGATCGATAAATTGTCCAATTTATTGTTGACAGGTAAAAATGTTGGACAATTTCTTGACTAGTTTTTTAAACAATTTATTGTGTCAACAATAATTGTTAAATGTACCTAAAACCCGTTTTAATTCAAAATGATATTGGGGAACGTCACTTTTCATTTTTGTTCTTAACCTTTTTATTTCTTGAAAATTGAAGATATTATGTACATCTTATGTATTTCAAAGTAATGTAAAATTAGAAATATCTGACTTTCACAGCCACACAGAAAAAAAAAAGTTGGGTATACTTTTTATGCGACATATATTTTTCGTAGTAATTTGGCCTCCTGAACACGAATCTGGGGTCAGAATTGGCCCATCACGTCACATTATTTCCACATCAAATAGTACATTTTTATGTAAAAGACTGCTGAATTCAAATCCACTGTCAGAATTGAGCTAGAACGTGTGTTTTTTTTTCTAACCTCAAAAAACCGAGCAGGAATCGCTATTTTCAAATTCTGAGCGGATTTTGACCAGATTTTGTATAAAAGGTTTTTTTGGTTCGCTGATTACGAATATGAATTCACATTGTAAAAATTCAAGATCCAATACAGGCTGATCCAATATGGCTGGTGTACTTTTTTGAAATCCACCGATTTCAGTAAAATTTGGCATCATAAGGATTGCTGGTTGATCTCACCTTCATTAATCACACATCTGGAGCCAGATTTTCATAAATCAAGGTAAAATTTGTAGGCAGAGTCATAATTTTAGGCCGAGTAGGCGGCATTTTTTCGGCAAAGTCACATTTTTAGATTGAAGGCATAAGCAGATGCAGTGATGTGCTGTGTGGCAGTAATGTGTCCTTTTCCTTGAACTTTAAAATTATTAAGAAATAAAAGCATCTAAATGCCATAGGAAAACTGCATAGTAGTTAAAAAAATCTGATTGGAAAACCATAAGCCCATGCACGACTAAATAAATGAAAGAATAAAGTAGAAACTTTTTTGTCTTGTCCCATGGAAACAAGCACATCACACTACACATCATTACATGTGTAGAGTCCTTAAGTCATTTTTTTAAGCGAAGTCACATTTTTAGACGGAGTGGAATCTTTTACCTTGATTTATGAAAATCTGGCTCCAGATGTGTGATTAATGAAGGTGAGATCAACCAGCAATCCTTATGATGCCAAATTTTACTGAAATCGGTGGATTTCAAAAAAGTACACCCGCTATATTGGATCAGCCATCTTGAATTTTTACAATGTGAATTCATATTCGTAATCAGCGACCCAAAAAACCCCTTTATACAAAATCTGGTCAAAATCCGCTCAGAATTTGAAAATAGCGATTCCTGCTCGGTTTTTTGAGGTTAGAAAAAAAACCACACGTTCTAGCTCAATTCTGACAGTGGATTTGAATTCAGCAGAGTCTTTTACATAAAAATGTACTATTTGATGTGGAAATAAATTTTTTTCCAAATTTTCCCAGTAAATTTTCATCAATTTTCACTATTTTTCACAAGTTTTTTGAGGTTAGGAAAAAATTGTGACGTGATGGGCCAATTCTGACCCCAGATTCGTGTTCAGGAGGCCAAATTACTACGAAAAATATATGTCGCATAAAAAGTATACCCAACTTTTTTTTTCTGTGTGGCTGTGATTATTAATGACAATAAATCTGACTGATGTATGTAATTATATGTGTGTATATTTAAGAACAATTATTATAATAATCTGAAATAAATTAATGTCTTTTTTTTAGTTTAATTTTTTGTGAAAAAATTTGTTTTAGGTACTTAGTAAATTTCCATTGGTACAACATATCGTTTTCGGATCTCTTTTCTCATTAAAGCCAGCAGGAACTGGGGCAAGCATTAGGAGGCCAGGGTTAAATGTGTCCTCTGCAACCCAATTAAGTGAGTCGAGTTTTAAAAGTCCAATCAGAGATTCCACCTCTACTTCCTTAAGTACCAGCAAGAAAAGCGAAGAAAACGTATAAGGAAGTTTGTAATATTATATACATATATATATAT